TAATAAAATTGCCAAATTCGCTTTTCTCAAAAAATTGAGTTTGAAAAAAACAGCATGTTTTTATCCGGCATATCCGTAATATGATTTTTTATTATATTTTTTGAACCAGTGCCAATAGCGCTTCACTTTAACGCTAAAGCCATCTACAGTTTTGCGTCCCACACTACCGAAAAGGGGAGAGGTACGTGCACCTTTGTAATTCGGGGAGAGTTACTATAGTTTTTTCGAGCATGATCACTTTTTTTAAGGAACACCTTGTAAAAAACCAGTATCGCATAGCGTCAAATAGATGCGAAGGTAAAAAAGGCAATAATCGTCAGTTCTCTCTGCCCAGATTCATCCAGCTGTGCTTTTGTACTCTTCCTATTTTCGAAATGGGATATGATAGCTACTACTGTCTATAACAAAAAAAACCATTACCGGGACTCCCTTGTCATGAGAACTGCTTGAAGATTCCTTCAAGAAGAATTCACATAGAAGCAATTTACAACCATCAAAATCTTCTTGTTAACAGTGCCTAACCTCTGGAGTTTGCGGTGGTGGAGGATACTGTGCACCTCCTACACCTCTGCCTTGTCAGCCATCATCATGTCAGCCAGGATACACTTGTGGCCAATATGGCTGTGCTCGCAATCGTGCCAGGAGTGCCCTCACCAAGCAAATCGTGAGTTTCCTATTGAAAATAACCTCGCTTCTATCAACCATTGAACATTTCAGAGCGGAATATTTGTTGACGAAGATCAGCCCTCAACGCCCACGCCCAAAATCAACGACGACAGCAGGGAAGAGAGGAACATCTATGGAATCAGCCGTGGTGTCACCAGAACATCAAGGCCGCCATTATCAGAAGAGAGTCGCGAACAACCGGATAATGTCACCATACATAGGCTAACGGTAACGATACACTAGCTATAGAAGGGCAAATAAAACAAATGCTGTTGCGGCTTTAGAATCCTAATTACATTTTCCGACAATGCTGCGAGCAGAGAGGTCTTCCTGATGCCTGCCTTAATAAATGCCACTTCAACACTTATACTCGCGATGCCGTAAGTCTACTCCGTAACTATTAAAAACACTCTAGCTAGTAGATACTGCAATTTAATACCACTTCTGACCTTAGATGACAAATCATCAAGTCTTCGAGCAGAACTTCAAAAATCATTTTCCAAACTAAGGAAATAAACTCAAAGAATGCAAATTTACCTCTTAGTGATTTTTCCCACTTTCCAATATATATCTTAATCCCTTGCAAGATCTCTCCGCTACATTTTAGGATGTGCTAAACGAAGTGAAGGAAAAATTAAAGCAATGCTTCAACGCTGGCTAACTTTTCCCTCGTACCTTACAGAATTTACTAATATTGAATTTTACCATAAGAGTGAAATTGGACTACAACCTGAGTACCACAAGAATTTGAGAAAAGGTGTATAGAAATCCTACGGACTTTCAGCGAAATGCGTCAGAAACAGTAATTGGTATGCGCTTCATATGAGCCCGAACCATGCGCAGCTAGGGATGGTGCTGGACTATTGGGAATAGTTAAAATTGTACAAAGCGGAGAGTTTGGGAAAGCGGTGCAGTGGCAGCTACCACGTAGGCAACCTGTAGATACCAGCTTGAATAATTGCTATTAAGATATATCCATATCTCTGTGTTGTAAACTTAAATAAAGGTCTGTATTAGTTGATTCAATTGAACCCAGTTCATGGCTTCTCAAGTTGAATTCTTTCATCTTCTAAATTAGCATAATTGATTAATGTTAATTGACTAAGAAATTGCATTGACTCTGACAGTTAAACAAAATATTAATCCTCGAATTTTAACCTTTTACGAGTCATTTACACTTCAAGCGATTGAAGGAAGGGGTTCAGTAGAACATACAACATGATCTATGTTGGAAGGATATATTATTTTGTTTCCTACGCGACAAAGTGACTTGTTTTAGAAAAAGGCATTTGAAAAACGCCAAACTCTATCTTCAACATCGAATACAGGAGAAAGTAACAGCCGCTTAAAAACATGCCACTGCTATTTAATATCAATCAATATAATTTGTGCAGCTTCAGAATTTTTTTCCTTTTCTCATACAAGTTCGACTGATCGCACAATGTTAAGTAATGGCACTCATTTCATAAACCAAGTTTTTTTTTTTTTGATATCATAAATCTTTGCTAGTCAGCAGGCATATTCTCGTCTTGTTCACTTTCATCTAGCTTCAGCTAGTTGCAAAAAATTTGTGTGTGATTTTTTCCTCAAGTTTAGTTCCTCTCCAGTAGTAAATTAAACTGCTTAGCGATTCGGTGTTTTAA